TACAAGAATTGTATGTAACATAAAATCAACAAATATCAACCAATAAATTCAGCAGTTTTGACAATTTTATTATAACGAATTCATATTAAGAGTTTGAATTAACAACGGTTGTACTATTGTGCCAAGATAATGTGCAATAGATAGACAAGATAATTTTCCACGCCATCTTGTGGAGAAAAGGTCATAGGGGGGCATAGAGGACCTAACCTATCATGATCGAACAACCGGTAAATGAAAAAGAATTAGAATTTTTGAAAATGGAACCACGGGAGGTATTGTAAAAATAATTATAAATATATGGAAAGAAAAATCGCGAACTGGAGTGATCAAGACGATAACGTTGAATGCAGTATTTTAATAAAATACCCATACATTAGCATGTAACTTGAAAGTTACACGGGCCCATAGAGGGTTAATTCGCAATGTGTTTTATCTTCCAGCAGTGATTCGTTACTGATCTTTGTTGCAGTGAATTTCACAATGTGTTCAAAGAAGATTACGTAGTTACCGAAGATTACACTTGCAAACACGTTGTTTGAACATGTAAACCGAAGAGTTGCATACTCACCTACCGTATTTACAAGGATTTCCAACAATTGCGACAAATCGATCGTGATGGTAGCCGTAGTGGTCGTATCCGGATGCATTGGCAAAGTGGAAAGAGGGAGAGAAATTTTCGGCAATGGAGACATTCTCAGACGTGCAAACACCGCCCTGAAATTCGCGATAAACGAGAACTTCGCCCACGGAACAACATTTTCCAACCGCGGATAAATTCCTGTACTCGTCGGGTATTGTTGTCCAGTTTTTCTGTAAATTAGATCACAAAATTACTATATAAGAAATTACTGTGTCAGAAAATTAATATACAATTTTCTTTTCTTTTTTTTGTTGGGAAAATGAAACTTCTATGAGGTTTATTCTGACATACTGGGTATTACTGAAAAATTGGTTTCCTTTAACCATCTATCTTCTATATTGATCATTTCACGACCATTGATATTTTACAATTTTTATAATAGTAATACTATAATATATAATATAATAGTATAATAGCAATACTTTTATGATACTACTTTGTAATTTTTATGATCCTTTTACAATTATATTTATCAATTCTTATTGATGTATTATTAATGTTATAATGTGTGTTAATTATTATTGATAAATATAATTAAAGTATTATAAAATTATATTTACTGTTACGTAGATTATATTGTTAAATAATATACTACTACTGTATACTAGTAATTGTATTATAGTATATTACTATTATATATACTATATATATATAGAAACTATAGTGCTTATTTACGTATTTATTAATAATTATTTTATTATTATATTATTATTATTGTGTTATTATTATTATATTATTATATTATATATATTATATTACACAAATTATGTAATATGTATATGCATAATAATATATATACATATTGCAAATATAAAAATATGAGAGTATAGATATATAAAATTCTTAAAGAATAATTTTAGGCAGAATTAAACTTCCAATTTCATATTAGTGAAATAAAAATCAAATTGAAGAAATTAATCATACGAGATTAATATCAGTGTGTAATTTTCATATCAGAAGTATCATCGAAATTATAATTTGCAGCTGCACGATAATTAATATGTAAGCAGTAGCTATCGTTGGTTATTATTTAACACGAATTAATATTTACACGGTCGTTTATTACCTCGAATTATAGTACTGTCTTAAAACAAGATACAGGTTTGCGTTTCCAATATTTCAAAGATAGATGTACATAGATAGCCGAAAGTCTAAAAATACGTGGATAAACACACAGCTATCTATATTTATCGTACACACATCAAATTGCTGTACCTTGCAGCAATGATTTAGCAATGTATAATTAGACTCATCGAAATATCATTTTCACGTAAATTCCTTTTCTCCGCGCGTAAAATGACGCGAAATTCTAAGAAAATTCCAATCAATATACTTCCAATTCTTAACATTCTCGAACTTACGATTTATTAATACAAAGTATTACCATTTCGAAATTTTTTCCAATCTTTTCCGAATTTTTTTCGAATTTTTTTTTAAATTGTTCAGATAACTGTCATCGAAACCATTGCATCACGTGTCATTTATTAACTGGTCATTTGTCACATTGATTAATTCCAAGTCATCGAGAGTAGAAATTAATTTCAAATATAAACGGATAAAAATTAATCGATAATTTTGGCGCCAAAATTTAAAAATTTTCGAAAGGTGTACTTATCGAATGGCTCGTATTTAACCTTTTGCATTATTACAAACAAGCATCGTGTCATATTTAATTCTACTTTCACTCATAAAGGTAGAAGAATTACCAAGATGATTGTAAAAATAAATTCGTAAATATATTTATAAATAGGAAAGTTTCTGTCTTGAGAAAAATTTCAGCCACGAAAGCGTGCTAAAATTACCAGTCAGAAAATAAAACTTTTCACAGAGTACGGCGAGTTAGATACTTTTGGTTAACATTAAACCTACCACGACCAGTCAAATGACTCATGGATAACAAAATATTTCCAGAAGAATTAAAAAAAGAAAATTTAAGCAAAAATAGATATTGAAAAATTAGTCTCACGTATATCGAAAGAAAAATCACAAAGAAAAGTGACATTAACGTCGATTATGGCATTCTTAATGACAAAAATGGTCATCAAATTATGATAAGAGGTATTAAAAAATTAGTGACACTTATATGAAAGAAAAATCACATAGAAAAGTGACACTAACGTCGATCATAGTATTCTTAATAACAAAAATGGTCATTAAATTGTGATAAGAGGTATTAAAAAATTAGTGACACATATATAAAAGAAAAATCACAAAGAAAAGTGACACTAACGTTGATTATGGTACTCTTAATAACAAAAATGGTCACTAAATTCAGTATTAAGATTCTCACACATACCAGAGGAATGGAGTATACGATCGGCTCATCATCGTCCATGCTAGCTATACAAACAACCAGCTGACAAAGAACTTGTAACAGTACTAAAATCTTCCTCGAAGACCCAGACATATTGCTTCTTCCTCTGCTGTTTACTTCTTCAAGATCCGTAAAATCTCCACAACGTTCGGGAAATGTCTGGTTAGCACAGATTCCTCGCCCTGCCAAGTTCGACTTAATATCACTCTATTCCAGAGATCTCTATAACATCCAATTCCTGTCACACTGATCCTTTTTCCCTAATGAAGACACGTTCGTGTGATCGAAGACACCCCAAAATTGATCACAGAGACACAATAAACTTGCAGTATTCTGCTCGTCGACGACATTTCGTGTCTCAACTATGACTCGATCAACGTCGATTATGCTTCCGATTTATGAGCAATTTTCTGTATCGTAGGAGTCGTTCAGGAGTCGCTAACCCCTCGTTCGATTCCGTTGCAGCTCAACCTGATCAGCCTGCACCATCCGCAAGAAGGTCTCGTTCTCAAGGCTTTGGGAAGCTCGAAATATCCAAACCGGAAGAAGGCGCGATGCTTGTTGGTAGAGACTTGACGTAACAGAGATACTCGGAACTTCCTTGGCTCTATCAGTTTACAGCTTCTCCTTCGCTGATTATTTTCTTGATATCGATTGGAGCCCGAACGATGAGGCAGATAAAGCTCTGCCGACTGGAGTATCAACTCTGATAACGGAATACTTCATTCCTGTACGCGTTGCTATCTGTGTTAACTGTTGGGCACGTTGAATCGGAATTTTCTGAGGCTGTGCTCGAAATATTCGTCACTTTGGGTCTGCTGATGGCCGGATTCGGGCTAACGAGCCGTAGTCCTCGGACCTAGAACATGTAAGAGCGGTGTTACTTAATCGATCACTGGGTCGTGATCGCTATGTAATTTTCAGAAGCGTTTATCGTCACGGAATGACCGGAACAGCATCGGGCCTCGTGGAACTGTGACTGGATTTCCCATCTTTATCTGGGAAGGATCTAACATGACGATGGAACGTGAGTAACGCCGATGTTGATCGATGTGGTTGTTAGTGATGGAGATCGGGATACGGTAAATCCCGGAATGAAAGCTTCTGAAAGGACGTTAACCGCTTGCGTCATGATTTATCAGAGAAAATTGTGAGGTGGAAAAGCAGTTAATTTTAGTTGGCCATTGGCGTAGCCAGGTGCTGGCACGTTTTATTCTCTGAAGATTCTTTTATTTATGTTAACTTACAATGGGAATTTTTAATTATTATTAGTAGTAGTAGTAGTTTGTATGCTATTTGGTGCAGTGAGTATAAGACTAAATATGTATGGCATTAACATGTGTATAATAAATACACATCTAACACCACATGATCATTTATTGGCAGATAGAATTATGGAATATAATACAATACTCACAAATCATAATTTTAGTAATTCAGATACTTCTACAATATTATTTCATGAGTCAGTAACTACTTTCAGATTGATTTAATTTATGATTATGATATAAATTAATTTTGTACAAGAGTATAATAACATTGGCATTACTTTTCTATCAGTTATATATTTTGGATTGGTGACTTAAATTTTCGACTAACGGATGAAAACTTAACTGCCACAGAGATTAACCTCTTAGTTAAGAAAAATCAATTAAAATCCTTACTAGCCAAAGACCAATTAAAGATGGTAATGGAAAATTGTGAAGCTTTTGCTGAATTGGATGAAAATCCTATAACATTCCCCCCTACTTATAAGTATGAATTTGCATCTCAAGAATTTGACCTAAAGTAAGATAAATTTATATTATACTTAAAATATTTTTATTATACTTCCATTTAATTAAGAATTTTTCATTTAGACGGCGACCATCATGGACTGATCGAATTTTATACAGAGTAAATGTGAATGTTTATAAGGATGTTAAGCTGAGCGCTGTTCAACATAGTTATAAAAGTCATTCCAATTATATAGTTTCCGATCATAAACCTGTTACAGGAGAATTTGATATCATTGTAAGATTACTTTTATGAAGCATAAAGTACAGTAAAAGTTAAATAATAATTAACAGAAGGCAATTTAAATAAATCTAATGACACAAATTTGTTATAAAAATTTGTATTACAGAATTTTGTATTATGTTGATAGATCAGACCAGGTATAGAAGATCACGGTGTAGAATTTCAACCTGTGTCATCATGGTTTATAGATGAAGAAAATTCAGTATCGTACAGACTATTGGGAGATGCCAGACCAGCCAGTGGTGACTGGGTGGGACTTTTTCACAATGAATTTTCCGGTTTAGACGAATATATTGTTTACGAGTATGTAGGTCGAGGTAGGGTCCATTTTATTATAATTTTTTATCATAGTTATTTGGGTGAGCTTATGACTAAAGATTTATGTTAGGTAAATCGGCGCAAATTCCTTCTGAACCTCATACCATCACTGAGCGGATTTATTTCAGCGATGCTGCCTTACGAACATCAGGGATGTATCGTTTAATTTACGTTGCACAACGAAGAAATCTTGTTGGAATTCTAGGTATTAGTCCACCGTTTCCAGGACATCGCAGACCTACATAATAAATTGGTTTGTGCAATATACAGTGAATGTATTCGTACATTGAACAATTTACAATTTGTTCAATCTTAGTTCATTAATTAATTTGTGCAAAACTATGAATTCGTACGTATTTTTCTTTCTAGAATATATAATACAGAAAAAAATTAATTATTAATTTATTTTCTGTAAGCGTCCATACCTTGAATTATATTTTAAATTTTTGCTTAATTCATACTCCCCAATAGTACTTCGTATGGTAGGATGAGGTCTATTTATATTTCCTTCTTTTACTGCAATTACCATACATTTTCATTCCATTTTTTAATAATAATTTTTAATAACATCATAGTATGAACATTATTGATAACAATTACGTTTTCAATCATACTGTAGATGGATGAATTCTTTTGTAAATTATATAGAATATGAACTATACAAATACTTATTGCTCCATCTTCAATTTTTTTGTAACTTTCAAGAATTGCACAAATATCTATCCTAGAAATATCTGAAAATATGTACGAATTCATTGTTTTAAAAAAATAGTTAATGAATTATAATTTTACGAATAATTTTATTGTATAAGATTTTAACACTGAATATCACTTCGTTTATTCCTTTATTTACTAGTAAATTACATTTATTTAATAAGTAATTAGTAATCATTTTATCTGATTGTAACTCTTTGAGGTCCAATGTTTTTTATCTTAGAGATTAGGGTATTATCTTACATTTATGCTTATACAACATATAGAGAATTTTGAAATGCTTTTGATGTTTTAAATTAGTATAAAAGATAATTCTCCTAAATAACGACGAGCAACATTTACTTTATGATTAAATATAGAGATAACTATATATAAAAGAATTTGAATGTTTTAGAAAATATTATCTTTCTACAGCGTGTTATTTAATATTTTATATTATGTATCGATTCTATTGTAGCAAGCATTTGGAGAGTTTACTTTTATATTTCTAACATTTCGTAGTACAAATTTAATATATTTTGTAGATTAATTTTTAGCATCTCAGTCTTAATTTTTTTTAAGAATAAGAACAAAGTAAATTATTTTACTGGGTATTAGTCTAAATAGCACTGGCTAATGAGTTGCAAATTTTGAGAGGGTGTGGAGTAGATAGAGCTTAAATGTAAAACATTAGTTTCGGATATCTATTGGTTTTCAAGATATACAATAGTAATTGAAACATCTGTATATACAGATTTCTATGTATAATAAATATTTTTTATTAATATTTCGAAAAGCATAGAAACTCGAAACTAATATTTTTCGTATAACGTCTTTCCCCTCAAAATTTGGTACTGATCGATCACTGGTGCTTTTCAGAACATCCATTTTATTTTATGTATGTAGAGTACATAAATTAATTAAAAGAAAGAAACTTTGAATATTGCATTTATTCACATTGTTGTAATGTTCAAATTAGAAAATTACATGACATATAAATTAGTTTTATTAATTCACTTAAATATCTCTATACAAAGCTTTATTTTAATCACTATATTAAAAATAATATCTGTCGCAATTACACTAATTCTATAATTTAGTATAGCATAATAAATAACAAACAATTTTTACATCAATAAGGACCACAAAGAGTTTGAACCCAATCGAATTTTATACTGTGCATATTATCATAACTATGAGTGTAAATATGTAGGTTTTCTCAAAATTATGGCTAAAAAAGAAAATCAGAAGAATTGATAAGTATTGTATTATTCAGTAAATAATGCTCATTTTATAAATTAATTCCTTTTAAGCAATTTAAAAGTAGATAATGTAATAAGAGACTATATTTTTATAATGAATTCTTAAAAATTAGTCTTTATTTTATTGAATAAATGAATGTTTTTATATATAAAATGTTTTATAAAATTTAGATAGTACTTAATTACAATATTTACTGGATAATACAATAGCGACGAATAGGGTGAAATATATATAGATATGAAAAACTGTTTTTAAAATGGTATTCACATCACAAATTCACATTGCACCCTATTTTCTTGTTAATGTTCAAAAGTTACTTTTGGTACCTGGTTTTTGCTATCGAGTTATTACTCGAAAAAGCTTAATCTTACACCTCGAGCTTATAATAAGTGTGTAAATGTTGTACTTGCACACCTAATATATAATAAAGCATTCGTAGGTAATGGCGGATTTATACGTATATGCTGGAGGCGGTCGCTTTAGACTCTGTAAAATAAAGGTCCCCACACGACAATAAAAATATATATTATTCAGTCACAAATTAATTAAACAGGGCTATAGGGTATTGTAGGAAATATATATATAGTGCATAATTGATTTATTTTAATGTACTCCTAAAACTTTGTAACGCTTCGAGCCTCTTGAAAGCTAAATCCGCCACTGCTCGTACTTAAAAATATTTATTAGTTTATTAAAATATTTTTTAGTTCGATTGATAAATTGTTACGACTGTAGCAATCGGTTTGGTTGTACAAACCTATACTATTTTATTTTTATATAGTACAATAAAAACACAAAGTAAAACGAACAAATGTATACTGTAGTATCAAAAAGAATACAAATAAAAAATCACGTTTCTTACTCATATCAACGAGGTTTTAAAAAAACATTAACTAATTTTTGTTGCAACAGGTATGTATTGAAAAAAATACAATATTAGAAGAATACATATAATTTTACATAAATAATTTAAGAGCTTTACAATAAATAATATATTCCTTTCCTAATGTTAAAACTACAAAATACAAAACGTAATATTTTGGTTTTTATTTTTAAATAATTTATTATCAGTACAAATAAAACTCTCAACTATTTTATCAAATTATACAGTATTATTATACATTGATTTGAGCATAATGCATTCATTTGAATAATTATTAAAACATGTTTGGCAGAAATTAAAAAATTAACATTAACTAAAATACTTAAAAAGCAATCGCGGAAAATTCGTTAATTAAATTCTACTGTATTTTGCAGTTTTATGAATTTTTGTGTAAACCATAAATGATAAATGAAATTGATCGATGATATTAAATATCCTTAACTAATGACTTATTATGCATTTGGAAACATTATTTATCTAAAAAATATAAAAAATGTTTTAACGTTAACTGTACAAGATTCAAAGAATGTCTATATTCGATGTAAGGTCATCATACAACTTATCCGGTTTCTCACTGTTATATAATCGGTATACAAATATCACAATTTGCACATGCCATTGTAAAACGAGTTGCAGGCGTTTTTATATAATCAAGACAAGTTCCTAAGAAGCATAATATTGTCATCTGAAAATGTCGATACGAAAATACAATATTAAATTCGGAAAATTTTTTATGAATCTAGAAAATTATGAATTTTTTGTCTTTTTTTTAAATGTGTAAGATATAACACTCTTACTATACAAAAGTATGCATCAAGAGCACTCGCAATATCAAGACCGAGCTAAATAAGCAAAAATTTGTATTTTGTCACGATATATTTTCGCTTATATTGATATTATATTATCTTTCATTAATTTATATAATTTCTCTATTATATTAAGAAAGAAAAAAAATTACATACATGTATTACATAAGCCACTGATATAAAATTATTCTTGCAATATTTTGCTGGCAATTAAAGCCTTTTAAATAAATTGTATTATAAATTATGATTAATAAAAAATTAGGATGATATTTGATATACGATGTCGATGAAATGCTACATTTACGTTTCATTTTCACACACGCAATAAATAATTCAATAAGTCGTGCCTAAAGTAAATTTATCGAAATTGCCAAATTTCCCTTATTTGATCAATTTGACGATTTGTAAATAAATCATACCACAGTTGTACGTTTCTTCAAGGAACTTTTAAGCATCTTTCGGCAGTTGATTCGTAATCCTCTCGTATGGTGTACAATGAATTCGAAGAAGGATTGAAGAATAAATGATACATCATGGAATGATCGTTTATCTAGGTGCGGAATTGTTGTGCATTATAGGAAGCAAAAATAATTCCATGCTTCCAACTTCTGCTTCTGGTATAACATTGATGCCACGAAATTGTTGTATCCTTTGCCATACAAAGTCTCTTGGTGGCTTACGTAGTACAAATAGACCGAAAATAAGAACACCTTGAAGAGCGTTCACAAGGTCGAAGGAGGACCAGTCGAAAGAATCTGCGTTGACGAACCATGATATTAGTTCCATTGACCAATTGAGGCCCATCAAGAAGAAAATAATCATGCAAACAAAGGCGGCTCTCATTAGACATCGAAGATATTTTCGATCGAGTCGATCCGATTCCTGATTCCTTGCGAGGCGCCTTAAATCAAGATCCCTTTGATATTTAGTCAGTTTAATGAAGGTCAGAGCGATAAGAATCACATTTCCAAGAAGAAGTAATCCGACTGGTACGTAAAAGAATGGCATTGCTTCAGTGTCCGCTGCAAACAGAAAATAATAATAAATTTTAATAAACCGATCAAATTTGTTTTGTTATCTACATGTAATTAATGATAATGATGATTTTATACCTTGTAATTATAAATTAATGATTTTATTATATTATAATGTGCGATTCAATTAAATGAAAATTATATATATTTTTATTTTCATTCACTGGTGTATAATTTGAAGGTTAACTTCATTGTAATATCATGAAACAATTTTTTTTCGTTGGTATTTTATTAGATAAGAGATCGTCTTCTTTGATCTCACATGAGGTAATATTAAAAGAGCTGAAGGCCGCTTAATTGAAAGTTAACATCCTTGTTGAGATAAAATTCAAATTGGATTTTTCCAAAACAACTTAATAGTCTCATCTTTGTCGTCATCTTATCAAATAATCAAACGTTGCTTTAAATACTGATATATTTTAAAATATATTATATACATATATGATCCTATTATTTCTTTCTAGTCATTCCTGTTATTCGTTTTGAAAGATTTAAATTGATACATCTGTCTCGTGTTAAATAGGTCACCAGCAATTCATGGTTCACTTGTTCAAGCATAACACTCACCATATGAATAAAAATAAAAATGACATCTAGAATGATTGTTATGATATTGAAACAGGAGAAGAAATAGAAAGAAGATATAAATTTCTTATTAAACTTGCGAAATCTAATGTTTACATTTTTTTACTTAACCTTAAATGTCAAAGTAAGTAGGTATGTCAGTATCATAACTATTGATATTACATTTACATTATATCTTTATATTAATTGAATTATAATATATAAATGCATTTCTAGTGATTAAATATGAATACATTAAGATAGATATAACAGTGACAGATATTGAAATATGAGATGTACTTGACTTACATTTGAACAAACAACTATCTTTGTGGGCGTTTGACTTCACGTAAGTCGTAGGTATTGTTGGATTAAGATTCATAATCATTGAGAGAAGAATAAGTATTATCGAGCAGCCCCAACACCATAAAGAGTAGAAGAAAAATAACGTTCTTGGTTTCATTCTTTTGTACGTTTCTCGATCCACGTAGCTGCGTACCAACGAGCATATTTCGATGCACATCGCATTTAGCCAGAAGAAGCATGCGATGAAGGAGAACTGGATGACGAACGCTGGAAAAGCCAATTGTTTATTTGAATCTCAAATCAACACTGGTCTTTCTCTCAAAGGAGTTACATCATATCACTTTATAGTATACCATAAAAAGCGCTGTGGTAACATATAGGCTATTGCGCTTCGAATAGCGCGCCAAAAAATTTTCTATCAAACAATATGGAATAACATGTTAATTATTATTACATTGAATTTGTTTTCGGAACAGATTGCATATTTTGTAATACATGGAAGATTGTCCCATTAAAATTGTATGTCAATTTTGTATTACAAAATTTTGTGGAAAATGACAGTAATATTTAACATTTAATACTTTTACGCGTATTTTAATCTAGCATAATTTAGTGTAATAGTTTCTTTAAGCTGATCATTGTATTACATTTTTATATGCAATGCATATAGTATAAATTTGATTCAAAATTTCATGCAGTACTACATATATAATATTTACAATAATAAATGACAATATTTCTATAGGAAAAATACAACCAAAATTTATTGGTATTTTATAAAACATGATATCATGTTTTTATTTTTTATTAACAATTATAGTTAGTTTTATAACATTATTAGATATTAAATGTTAAATGATAAATGTTATCCATTAATTAAAAATTACATGTCAACTTACCTATATTGATACAGGCTTGCCTCGATAAATGCACACTCCATAATTGTGTAATTGCTAACATGGTAAAAGCAAGTGCTAAGCATCCACAATAACGACACAACGTTCTTCCATAAACATCTCGCAACTTTGGCGTAATAGAATACGCTGCAATGGTAAGGATTAAAAATGGCACGGATAATAAAAGGCCACAGGCATACATCGTAATTCGAGACTCTGCAGCTACTATTATGAGATCTGGAACAATTTTGTTAACGTTAGTACGTTCATAAATTTATAAGCCATAATTTACTAACAATAAATTATTATACTGTCAATAATGATTTGAATTTAAAAATGAATTTAATAATTTTCTTTAAGTTAAATTTGTAAATATATTTATTTATTTAATATTATTTAAATTGATTTAATAGATGCAACAAATTAACTGTTACCTTCAGCCATACACACAAAGGTTTGAAGTCCTAGTTCTGGGATCACTTCTAAGCAATAATCAACTCCAAGTTTCAGCATTCCTGGCTTTTTGTGAGGTGTGTATATGTTACCATTCATTAACAAATAGTGCTCGTCATTGGAGTCATTGCTTGGGTCTAAAATATACCTAAAAAGGAATATTTGATCAAATTTGAAATTAATGTTCCCTTTTTTCATTTTCTTTTACGAACTATTAAATTTTTATTTGTACACATACACCTCATGTGCAAATTTTTAAAAAGACATTGTATTTTGGAAATTTCAAAAACTTATTTAATTCATATTTTTGTATAGGAATATAGTTCCAAAAATATAATTATAGTTTTATAATATTATTTCTCATTGAAGTCAAACTTGATAAACATTATTTTAAATTAATTTATATTTCTACTAGTCATTATTTTATAACAATTGTTACTATTATTTTTAATAAATTCACCATGATTATTATTTTATCATTATTACTGTTATTTTAGTATCATTATTGTTCTTATTGGTGGTGTTTATTGAAAATAAGCATTAAATATTGAAAATTTTTTTGCAATTAATTGAATTAATTGAAAAAATGACTTTAGAATAAAATAGAAAATGAAACAATGAAACTAGCATTATTTGTGTTATTAATTTATTATCATTATTACTACCATTGTTATAATATCATAATATTTAAAAGTTAGAATAACTTAAATTGCACAGTTACTAACTATTTTGACTTGCACATATCTGCATTATCGGTAATGGTGGATAGCGTGCGTGAAACGTTCACGATAATTTTAAATTCATTATGATCACGATTTGCATTTGTTTTAAGAAAGAACTACACTTATCCTTGAATATAAAATGCAATACAAGTTACAATAGATACGAAATAACGTGAAATCCGTTTTATACTGCTTCTTCAATTATTTACTTATCTCCTTCCTTTTCCAAATTAAAAAAAAGAGAAATGTAAATTTTTGCATTATTTCGCTTTCTCTACTTTATTTATTCACCTTATCACTAGCATGCTAAAGATGCTAAACTTATCAGTTTAGAATAATTGAGCAATATTTTCTCGTTATAAATTTATTTTTAAAATAGTTAACCGAGGTCAGTTACGGAATTATTATGTAAATATTACGTAGATAAAAATTTATTCCGAATTATAAAACGTGTTTGAAACGTGTCAACGTTATCAGAAAGTATAATGACGATTTATAATCATAGTTAGACAAGAAGTGAAATAGGACTACCATCCGTTTTTAATCTTCAACCATATTTCACTATTTCCTCATTTTTTGGTTTACCTCGTTCTGATTTGAAGTACCGATCCATTAATTTTCCGATTCCATAATTTGCACATTAAAAGATACGAGATTTATAATCCCATGTTTCCTGCTTCTGTCTTAATTTCGTCCAAATAAAATTTGGTTACCAAGTTAAATCCATTATTAGTTAAATCTATCACGAAATCTTATAATAGGTACAAAATTTTCAAAATTTTGAAAAGACACTAAAGGAGGGTGTTAAAAAGAGACCATTTTTGGCATTAAAATAAAAAATAAAAAATAAAAAATGAAAAATGAAAAATGAAAAATTCCTTCGAGACCTTTAAGAGCATCCTCCAAGGAATAAACAATGCTTATATAAGCATATATAAAGTTGTTAAAAACGAGTAGAAATACGTGAAAATGAGACTGATCGAATACAGGATGTCCCAGCAAAACGGGAGGGGGTAATGCAAACGGGAGGGGGTAAAACTGAACTGAATTAAATTAATAAATTTTGTGAATTAAATTAATAAATTTTCAATTGCAAATATCTTAAAAATTATTGAGTAATGGCACCTGTGACTTTAACATATGTAACGTATGATATTAACAATTGACAATACAGAATTGAGTATCACCATCAACGCAGTACCGCAGCCATTGTATTAACCCTTTGCACACGGCGATCTTTTTGTTACAGAAACATAGTAATTCGAAAATTTTCTGCCATAAAGTCGATGATATTTTCAAAATGGTAAATAATAAGAGCAAATTAACAATAAGACGTAGACTTATTTTACCTCGATATTCCACGTGCCGTTGGGCAATTTTAAATTCGAGATATTAATTAATAACAATCTTTAGAATCTGATTAAATGGTGACTGAGAGTCGCCTCTCGAGTGCAAAGGGTTAACCTATTCTCAATTATCGCTGGAGATATTGACAATTGAAAATGCAGTACTGAGTATAGCAATCTAAACAGTTCTATCGCCATTTTATTAACCTATTCTCTGATCATCTATATTATATCGCAATTCTAGAATTATCAATGGATAGATCAATCATCGCTAGAGACATTGACAATTGAAAATGCAGTACTGAGTATAGCAATCCAAACAGTACTACATCCATTGGATTAATCTATTCGCTGATCATCTAAATTCTACAGCAATTTTAGAATGAATAAAATGTTTCCTGCAGGAACATTTCGACCATCGTATCCTAATAATGCCTAAAAATATCCTACAAATAAATAAATAAATAAATTTCTAGGTAAAGTGATAGAGGAATTTCTTGTTT